GAAGCTAAAACAGAGCTGTAAAAGCTAAAATAAGCAGAATATGGGCCAAAAGATCAGACAGAATTTAAAGGAGGGTTATGGAGGTTCGAGGTCAGTAGCAGGTGTTTTTGGACCTTGGACCTGTTTTGACGTCTTCAGCTCGTTGCTGTAAGGTGGGAAGGTTGAAGATGTTTTTTTTTTCTGCGTGTTCAGAGGAGTGTGGCTGAGGGCAGGAGGGATGAAGCCTCAGGTTAAGCTGAGATGCTCAGGGAGTAAAAACACGAGCAGAAGAAAAAAACCCTTTGATCCTGTGATTTTCATCAGAAATAACAGGCTGCACTGCTGAATTTGACCCCACTTTCCTCATTACTGATGAAAGCTGCAGACCATTAGTGCTCTCAGATTCCTTAAAAACCTAATCACCACTCAAACCCAGGGGTTTCAAACATGCAGGGGATCAAACCCTCAGGACTGAGGAGGAGACGCTTGGATGAGCTCGAGTTGACTCATTTAGGCACTCCATCATGCACGTGATCTCGAGTCTCCTCGTAACGCATTCGATAGCGCGGCAGGATGTCCACGTTCGTCTGTTTATGCGCTCACAGTCATGGCGAACCCTCTGAGCACGCTCGACGCTTTGATCAGCCGTTCTACAAAGACTCAGAGACAGGCAGAGGGGCTTTGTGCTGAGTTGGCAGGGCTGCAGCAGGTACCTCTCAGCTGTAACACTTCTTTACTGTCAGCGGGCTGCAGGCACATCTGATCAGACGAGAAGCTCGATCTGGTGAGTTGTAAAATCAAAGCTGTCATTTATGGAACATTAGATCTCTCATTTGGTGGCTAATTTAGTGGGTTTGACTGTAGGACTTAAAGAACTTAGGACTAAAAAAATGAAAGCACAAGATTCAAAAAACATTAAATAAACCTGATCATTAAATACAAAAGACTATAAACAAGTAAACAGATTCTGACAAGTGTAAAATCAGTTACCCCCAAAGAGGACAGCGAAAAGATAAATAACAACAACTCCATGAGACATAAATG